GGGGGGGGGGGGGGGCAGTTTTTAGTTGGGCAGGTGGTTGGGGAAGGGGGTAGGGGGAAGTGCATAGTTAGTTATCATATATTAGTAATAAATTAATAATATTACCCAAATGGAAGCTGGGGTTGGTTTATAAAAATTGATATTTAATTTGGTTCTCAATTAATCTTGCGTGAATGTATGTGGACTTTGTGCAGGTTGGAATACATCCTTCAGCTGCTGAGGAATTTGTTACAATGCGAACGCCAACCCGGAGGGTTGCTGGGAGAAAGAAGGGGGCAAATCTATGATTAATGCCGAAGGTGATATTATTATGAGACCTAGAACGGAAGATGACATCAATAACTGTTGTTTTTCGTTTGAAAGTTGTTGGAGGGGGAGAGGTGAAGAAAAACAAAAACAAAAAAAAAAGAGAGCGATAATTGGGTGGAGCACATGTTGAGGTCTGCGCAACATTGTATAGACGCCACCTTTTCTTTTCGCTTTTTTTTCCCCTTCGGTTTCGATGTTAGTTTGTGAAGGTTTCGGCAGCAGCATGGCAGCCAGTTGCAGGGGCTGAATAGGTCATTTAGCCTTATAAAATGCGTTTGGTTGGATGGCGGGGGGTTAAAGGCCCTGTTGTCCCCATCGTATTATTTTCTGATGATCAAAGCCGTGAACACTGGGCCCATTTGTAAAAAATAATAATAAAAGTTATAAGACTAAATAAAAATGCCCTCCCTCTTCTCCAGTCGTGTTGGTTTTGAGGGCGCAGCAGAAAGATATGACTTTTATGTTAAAAAAAAAGAAAAAGGACTCGGGCACAGCAGAACGATACAACTTTTATGTCGAAAAAAGAAAAAGGACCAGGTGCATTCTCTGGACGAAATTCAATCTGGAAACTTCAGAAAATCTACTTTATTTATAGTAAGCATATGAAATTCAAACTGCTTTTTGAAAAAAAAATAAAACAAAAAAATTGAACTGCTTATTATTTTCATGTTTTTCTGGTTTCAATTCCGATTTTGCTAGGGTATATTTCACACTAGGAATTTTTTACTTCTCTGTGGATGCATTTTTACGGTCAGGTGCATCCAGGCAGGGTCGGGAAAGCCGTGATGTACAGCCAAAAAACTCTCTAGTCTGAGTATGCCCTACTTTTTCTTGTTCTCTATGGATGCGATTATGGTCAGGTGCATCCAGGTGGGGTCGGAAAAGCGGCCATGTACATCCAGAAAACACTCTAGTCTGAGTATGCCCTACTTTTTCTAGTTCACTGTGGATCTAGGCTACCAGCCGAACCACCCGAGTCACCCTATTTTCCTGGGCGGCCCGGTCGTGCAAGGAGCAGGGAACGTCCCAGCCAAAAAAAAAAAAAAAAAAAAAAAAAAACTATGTTATGCAGAAAAATAAACTTAGCAACTTTTGCCTTAGGGTTACATCGAAATTCTTTACCAAATTTAAAATAAAATTTAAAATAAAAAAATGATTTTTATCATTTTTAGCTTTTTTATTTCTTTTTTGCCCGGGCGGGCAAGTGGGCCCGGGCCACTCTGGTAGTCTAGCTGTGGATGCAATTACGGTCAGGTGCATCCAGGCGGTTTTTGGAAAAGCTGCACTGTGCCCTTAGTGGCCCCTGATTAGAGCTGTAGCGCGTACCACCATGCATGATGGCACTCTTGTGAAAAGACTAGGTGCTTTTTTCTCCAAGTAGCACAGTCCGATATCTGGGAACCCTTGATTTACCTGGGTCTGTAGGCCAGATAATGCTAGCCGGATGAAGCCAGATGACGTACAACCGGGGCCCAAAATGGGGTATTAAAAAAAAAACAAAAAATTGAAAAAAATCCAAGAACAACTAGGAAGATTTTGATGACCGTCACCCAGGCGTGACACCCGGGATCCTGGGCATGGTGAAAAAAAAAAAAGATAATAAGAACAAAAATATTTGACGTCGGGGTTTTTTTGCGGTCTCCGAGAGGAGCCCAAATCCGGGCGCTTTTCTTCTTTGAAATGTTGGCTGTAAAGAGGGGGGGAAGGGGAGTATAAATGGATTTTGAATGGGCTAAAGGGGTTAAAAAAGGGGTGCCTTAGTGTGACGTGGTTAATTTCTTTTTTTTCTTTTGTTCCATGAGGAATTCTGAAGTGACCCTAAGCCAAAAGCTGTTTGCATTGCAATCTCTACAGAACATTTTTTTTTTCAGAATTTTTTTGTTTTTTTGTTGTTTTGCGCTGGCCCTGCCCGGTCCCATGCCCAACCGGTCACCCGGTCGCCAAACCGGGCGTGACGTCAGGACCCGGGCGCCAGGGATATTTCCCTAGAAAAAAAAAAAGTTACAAATCTGGAAAAAAGGTATGCTGTGCAGCTGTAGATGAAAACAGTATTTGACCGGACGTCATAACAAATCCGAAGGTGAAAATGTGAAAAATAAAATAAAATATTAAAAATTATTTTTAATTTTTATTTATGTACTCTTATGTTTTATTATTATTTAGAACGTCCGGATAAATCTTGTTTTTTTTTTTTTTTTTTTTTTTTTTTTGACAAACTTCGAGTCGTGCACACCACTTAGGGAGGTGATATGAGCAGCCTCCCTAAGTGGCTCCGCAGTTGAAGGCTCCACCTATTGGTGGGGAGCAGCACCTGCTGGGAGCCGGGTCCAGCGTCCCTCATATTACAAGACATTTCTGTGACGGACAGTGGTCAGATATCTGACTCATGCACTGAGGAGTTCCTATCCTTAATGTTGCCTATCACCTGGCCCCCCGAGGAGTGGGGGAGTTAGGCTCGTGTAGCCCTGGTCCTCTGTTGTCATCTTGGACAGCTACAACCCTCCTGCATGTGATCCTGTTGCTGAAACTGAGAATGCTGGAGAACTTTATGGCTGCCCTGTCCCCCCGAGGCATGGGGGAGCTAGGCTGTTTTGAAGATACTTGCAGAATAAAAGGGCGGCCCTTGCCCCACACTGGCCCCTGTTCCAGCTGGCATGTAGCCCTAGTCCTCTGTTGTCATCTTGGACAGCTACCACCCTCCTGCATATGGTCTTGTTGCTGAAACTGAGAACGTTGGAGATTGTCATGGCTACCATTGTCATAGCCGGGGTGGTCTCCCATTGTGGAGGACCGGTATGGCTTGTCCATCGTGTATGGCCTGCTAACTTGAACCTCGGACACCGGGTTGTGAGTGGGATACCAATGTCGGGGCCGAACACCATTTGAAGGAGGCGAGGGTAGGCGAGGGGGGACTCATGAGAAGGGGGTGTGGCGAGGTTATGGGGTCGGCTCAGCCAGGGCAGGGGGAGGGGGGGGTCTGGGGCGGGCTAGTGAGAGGTAGGAGAGGTTGGGGTATTGGAGGAGTCGACGAGGGGGTGGGTGGATAAGCAGTTCGGGGGAGGGAAGACGAAGGAGAGGGAGGATATGGGGCCGATGGTGGAGGTGGGGTGAGCGGGGTTGAGAGGAAGGGAGAGGAGGCGGAGGTAGGGAGGGAGAGAGGGGAGGTTGGGTGCATGACTGAGGAGTTTCTCCTTCAGGTGCACAGTCCACTATCAATGTGTGTGCATTTCTGCTCGACAGCAGGGTGTGGAAGCAATCAAGCGGTCTCAGCCACCCGTGCTTTTCCTTGGCAAGCCAGTTCCCCCATATCAATGTCCCATGGTCGTGTATATCTACCATCATCCTTTGGGGGTCTTTCCAAGATTATCTGCTATTGTAGGCAACACAATGAGCAGGTTCTTATTAACCTTTACTATGTTAGCCCATTTGGTATCCTCGGATGTTTGCGCTGGATGATCCAGATGGGTAATCCTTCAGAAAAAAAAAATGTTGTGTTACCTGGTGTAGCCTTTTATGTCGAAAAGACCTATAGTCAAATGCTATTTTTATCGTCAGCTTTCTGGCTGGTTAGTGTTGTTTTTTTATGATGCTTGTTGAGATACGTGCGATATATTCAATTGAGATGAGTCAAGTTTTGAAGAAATAATAAAAATAAAAAATAAAGTTGCGTTTGGTATATAAGCTGCGGTTTGTGTTGAGTCTCCCCTTGTTTGATAATTGTTCTTTCCTTTCTGTTTGAGGATTTAATTTTTCGATAGGCAACTGTTGATTTTTTCGTATTTGGTAGTTTTTTTTTTACCTCTCACCATTACCTACTCGTCAAATGAGCAACTCGAGAAAAAAAAATAAAAGTAAGAGAGTGTTATACGTAATCGCCCCTCAGACCAAGATGATGGCGATTACAGTTCACTGATCCATTGTCTATTTACTTTCATAAGTTTTCTCTGGCGAGTGACTCTACCAAATGAATCTTTCGCTAGAATATCTGAATATGGAAGGATACATTGCGGTCATGTTTTTCGTTTTTTATGGATGTGGAGAGTAGTGGAGTTAGACCTTTGTTTCCACTTCAAATATCTTAAAATTGAGAGTATGTTATGCTCGGGGCAACCGATGTCAAGATTGTTATTCCTAATGAACCTGCTGCAGTCAGATTGCCACGTGAGATTTGTACGGATAGATCGATTGATGAGATGATTTCATGGACATTTGACGATGTGTTCAACCACGTAGAGGATGCTCTACTAATGACGATGCCGATTTGGTTAAAAACCGTGTTTTTGACAATTTTCCTAAGGAGGTGTGTAAATTTTTCAGCGTTGATTATCGTGAGTCGGATGATAGCGGACTCGATTTTAAGCGAGAGGTTTTAAACGCTCTTAATGAAAATTTGGGCTTCCACCTTACAAGTTGCTCTTAAAAAATTGTGTGCACGTAATGTTTTTGCGAAATTTGTAATCGAAGCAAGAATTTTACAACGATGTAAGGCTGATTCTGTAGAAGATCGTTAATGATGATTCGTTGGAAGTGACAATAATGCGCACGAGTAAGATATCACTGATCCGAAAGACTGATCTGCCAAGCGATGGTGAAACCATCGGGTTCAAATGGTTCAGTAGAATTTTCAGTCCGTTTTGTTTTTGATGTAACGATTAATAAGTTGCAAGGAAAAATGATATCGCGTGTCAGGGTTTTGCTACGTACGTCGATTTTTTGGGCATGATCAATTATACGTTGCTTTGTTGTGTGTTGACTATCCCAACAACATCCCTGTTGCGTTGCCTGATAATAATTTTTTGACGAAGAATGCATCATCGACTTTTGGGATGAGTTATTTTTTTAGCGTGTTTTTTTTTTTTTTTTTGAGCCTTGGTTTTTCGATTAATATCATCCTATTATTTTTTTTTCATACGACTTCTAAATGCACCATATCTACGACACTCGTGCTAACAACAAAAGGAGGAGCACAATAAAACCAGCAATACCATTAAATATGAGCCGAATGTTACATTAAAAGCTCGAGCTGAATATTCGGAGAGGTCGAAGAAAAAAGAAAATAATAAGAGATCGACGAATCTTGAAAGTAAACATGTTCGGGATGATCATGCTTTTCTTGGTGGTTAAACGTGGACGTTAAAAAGAAAATACCCTTAAGGATGTTGAGGAGATGGTTGTAGAGGGGGGTGGTGACTGAGAATGTTCAGAGGAAAATACCCTTAAGGATGTTGAGGAGATGGTTGTGGAGGGGGTGGTGACTGAGAAGATGGTTGCTGAGAAGGAAAGTTCCTTCATGATATTTAGCTTTGGACGCTTGAGTGCCGTACGCAACCCCGAAACCTATGAGAGGTTGCACGAATGTGAGTAATATGTGAAGCGTCGTCATGATAGAAGAT